TCGCGTGAATACCATAACTTTTCCTGCAAGTTCTCTCTTTGAAAGTGTATTAGTGTGTATGTTGCCACTGACGCAACCAGGAAAACAACAGTTGATCGAGACAGCTAGACCTACCACACAGTTGTTCATCCTTGGTATGATTACGGTTGTCAGATTTTTTTCGATTGTTTACCAATAAAAAATGCGGGGTTTCGATCTTCGGGAATGTTTAATGGTCCCAATCTGATGATGCAAACTGAACTGTTTCCCATTATTGTTGAACGATCAGCATGAATGTAAAACTTGGAGAGCATGTGAACTGAAAGTAATTCGTAGGGAACAGTGAACTATCTTGTAATCCTTAGCAGAGAACACTTTAACCTTGTGTTACTATAGGAATAGGACTGAAAAAACAGAAACTTCAAAGTATTGTTTTCGTGTGTAAGCCGCGTTACACACTGTTTCCAAGCACGAGTGTCGAAAGCAGTTACAACTTCCTCAAATCTCAATGGACAACTCCCTATCTTACAGCTGATTCCAGGTAGATTTGGAACACGCGCGAACATTTGGAGTGCGCTATATCAGTATCACGTCTTCAATTGAGTGCACCACACACATATATACCACAAGTATCATAACTAGTGTCGCATACAATGAGCTACAACGAATCTAATGTTGTGCGGAGTATAGCATCTAACTATCTGATTGCATTTTTGGTTATGCACGTATATCATACATCTTCAACCTTTTCTTTGATCACATTTTCGTCATTAAGATGATTTATGGCTTAGTAATTAAAGCAATCATTCCAAGTTGTTATTTTATTATTTAGAGTGCATATAGATAAGCATAACCATAATTGGCCATTGTAATTTACAAAACAGTCAACAAAGCTGTCTATGCCTAGCCATATGGGTTATGGATGTCAACCAAGATGATAAGTCTTGTGGGTGAGCATTTACCGATTTTCTGTGTTAGTGACGGGACCGGACTGTCATACACTTCGTTAATGTAACAAATGCTGTTGCGTCCTGAGGTTGCTTTTGTAGTCCGACAAGGTGAACTGTTTCCAGTCCTGTAGTGGGGCTAACCGATACTGTAATTGGAATGTTCGAAGATCCCCTACCTCCCAAAAAAGGATGGTGCTGAATTATCAGAGGGTGGCTGAACGGAATAGTGGCAATACTACTGATGGAGTGGCAACCATCGTGTTTGGGGTGCAGAGGCATTCGGAGGTGAGGCCAGTTCACTTTTCAGCTTCATTGATTCTCAGTTGGTACCCATTCTGGGGAATTTAGTTCCTAATTCTTTATGTAAAGGAACTCAAGTTACCATCTACATTAAAATTATTATCGAGGTGTTGTGACTGAAACTGCTTTTTGTTTTATTTGAAGTGTTATATGCGGGACGACGCATTAGTATTTTTGCACGCCTAGCAACAAAAGGTTCCACCACTGTTCCCTAGCCTAAGAGCTGTACATTTCCTGAATGCTGTTCATCTTGTTTAAAGTGGTCTTCGTATTAGAAACCAATACGTGTTGCTTGCCTGCCACATGCGTCGGTGGGGTGGAATCTGTAATGATGCCCCCTTCAAAGTCTACACTTTTTGCCTGTTGCCATAATAGTGCCTTACTATAATGTTTTTCGCTGGAGTAATTTATCACAGTTTTCGATCGCAACCCTTGCTCTTCTGCCTTTGACAAGAGGTCCTATCATGCTGAATAGCCAAATTTTTAAAACAGCTGTCATTTTGGATAATGCCCTAAACATTAATAAACGTTGTAAACTGAAAGACTATTAGACAACGCGATCGCATAGCTTTCTCACGGTGTTTACAAAAATAGGCTACACAGTTCATGTTACAGAAGTATAGTAGGCATTTCTTGCCTATTTTTAATGGAACGCTGACCGATATTTTATACACAATGGCTTTTTGAGATGAAACTAACAGCTCCATTACCTCTGAGGCAATGTATCCCATCATTATTTCAGACCTGCTATGTGAGTTAGATCAGGGTTACAATGACCGCCCAGCACATATGTTAATGTGATCAACTCGTTTATGCACTGAACTGCCACTCAGTGTAAAGTCGTAAACAGTACTATGGCCCAGGAAGCCCCATGTAATTATGGAGAGAGTTGGATTCAAAACTGGAGTGAATGACTGAGTTTATTTGTTTAGGCCACCACGTAACGGTATAACTCAATCAATCACTAAAAGGTGGTGGTTGGAAGTAGCTTGCAGGAAACCCTGCTAGATTCTTCCAGAAAGGTGTACCTGTAATTCTGAAGATCTAATACTCTCCTTGTAGGATTCAAAAGCGTATCCCCTTAACCTCACAGTATGATATATTACCACTTAGCTTATCGAACCGTAATTTGATGGAATATGTAAAAAATTGACAGACCACGGAATACTAGATAAGGTTATGTTTATTTAGTTTGTAGTATCTCACCATTCATTCATTGTACTTCAATGATTAGTCGTTTAAATTATTCGATAATTGTATCGACCATTTTTTTATATTTGTAATGATTCAATAACAGTATCGATTATTATGTATTTGATTTTTTGTACATACTTACTCGCTTATTACATGTCTAGCCTATTATTGCTTGACTATAAATTCTTAGTCATTCCCTCAGCCCACCGAGAGTTGGTTCACTCGCTTTCTCCAATTCGCTTTGCTTTGCTTTGCTTGTACGCTTTCCATTCTCATGTCTGACTGCATAGGTGAATGCATAAAATAAATTAATCCGCAACACCGTATTTGGCTTCCTACTACTGCCGTTTGCCTAAGTACGAGATGAACGGGAATGGACAGGAAGATTTATTTTACTGCACACTCAATCAATCGTCCATACTGGAGCCACTAAAAGTTCTTCCTAGTATTAATCGTATTTTATATTAGTCGAATTGTAACGTGGTCATGTTAGTCCAAATAATAACTACATACACTTAATGTGCACTATACTGAGATCAATATGAAAACAAAACAAAGATGTTTAAACAATCGTGTATGTTCTTTTTTGAGTATACATCTTATTGAAATTTTTTAAAAAAAAAAAAACTTTTGAGCCAGAGGTAATACAAATATGTCCAAAGTTGAACAAGAAAAATAAACTAATAATATACCAATGGAAATAATTCAAGTTACCATCATCAGCATCATCATCATAGTCATCTGTCTCGTCAGAAGTAGATGGTATATGAGCAGGAGAAAAACAAAGAGAAAGCATAAACTAACTCAAATCAAGAACATCTATAATTAGAAAATATGGATGGATGGATGGATGGATGGATAGAAAAATAATTTGTCATTTAATTAGAATGACCAAATGTGAAAATAAAAAATTTAATAAGAAGAAGAATGAGGAATTTCAATGAATTATGACAATTTTATACACAAGGTACTATGATTACGGTTATTCTCTTTGTCAACCAAAAACTGCTACTTGGAATTGGCAGAAAGAAACGACAATGTTTGCTCGCTATTAAGAAATATAAAATGTAAACGAAGAAAATCATTAGCAATCAATGAATGACATTTGAAGTTTATTTATTGGTTCATAAAAACAAGTAGAAAAAAAAAATAGTTTAATGTTCAATTTTTCTCAACACGAATAATCATCATCATAACATAATGCGAATGTTATTTATAAGCAAGTAAAGCATAAATTACGATTATAGTATGAATCTTAAACAAGGAATTCTACACTTCGTAGTGTAGTGAACGACAACACAAGTGGGGCGACCGGATTGTATGTAACGAAAATTACAGAGTTACTCAGTAAAATCGGAAAACCATATCGTAAATCGATAATTTGCAAAATATCAGTCCATCATAACGAACTGGACTGTTCCTGTTGCAAAACACCAATCCATTGTGTTCTAACTCTTCCTTTCTTGATCTTCCCCCATCTCCCGCTGCCAGACATTACGTTGGCGCTCACGTCATATACTACTTATAAGTAGCTCGCACCACAGTAGTACTCATCAAGTTTATCAATTGATGTCATGTCGTTGTTTAACCATAACACAATTTTTTTTTACCAAACTTACTACTACACTAAGTAGGATTACATGTACAAAGAAGTTATGGTTAGAATAAGTGTAGCACAAGTCTCACTGAGCCTAGTTGGTAAAAATCCAGTGTTATCGACTAATTTACTCATCTTCTTACATAACATTGAAAGTATTCATTCGTTCATTCATTCTGTTATTGTTGAGGATGTTAGATCCCCAGAACTCATTTGGAAAAGGTCCTAATTTTGGATTTTATGCTTTCACACATGGGCTGATCAGTCGACCTTGAGATTACATTTCCCACCCGGAAAATCCTTGACTGTCATTGGTTGATGTATTATTTTAGTACGCTATTTTTGTGGCTCTCCCAAGGACGTGTCTATCATGTTTAAATAAACTCGATTTGTGTGCTTGTGAACCTCATATTTTCTGGGTGCTTGTGGAATACACTTTCTACTCCATATCATCAAGACTTCTTCCTCTACTTCGTGGGGCCTTTGGACGCTCGGATTAGAGTAGCCTATCGTGTTACTGGATAATTTATCTTCGGTCTCGTTCACCGACTAAGGTGAACTCGTAATAGTTCCAAGCATATTAATTGACGAGTATAACAGTTATGCGTGACGAATGTCAATTTACTATAAACTTAAGAGGTTATATTTCACAACTGTACAACAATAAAGATTAAACTGCTGCATAGTAATTTCCGTTTTACAAAAAAGTAGCCTATAGTTGGAAAAATCTTTAACATACTTTATGTAACATTCCAAAATTTCAATAAATATGCAATAACAATTAAAAGTTAATCAGTCACAAAACAACACATAGCACCTCGGATATTGTATTACTTTATTTTGTCATAATATCGAGACGAATGTTACAGTAATTTATTAGCAAAGTAATCACTGTGCCAATGATTGATGCAATACGAACAATAATGATTCCAACATCTTAATAAATCACTTACACATTATACAATGTTTGCAGACACAATTCAATTGTATTTATATGTAGTATTGCGTGAATCCACTGGACGCCGTTTAATTCGAGATAGATCAGGTGATGAATTACAATTCATTGACATGGAAAATACTTTGTAATTGATTACCTTAATGAACAAAACATGGAGAATAACACACACACACAAAAAAAAAACTAAAATACAATGAATAAGCACCATGGAATTTTTTTTCTTCTTCTTCTTAAATTATGCTTTGATTCATGTGATTTTGTCTAAACTTACTATTGATAATTGATTAAGGTTAGAAGAACATACTTCAATGTTTATTATTGTGTTGTAATCAGTGCATTGAAAATTAAGTTCTAATGTTTACTATAATAGTTCTCAACTAGCAGGTCGATCATACTACCACTAATGAACAGATTCACGGTAAACAGCTACCAATAACATCCGCATTATTTGAAATAAAATGTTTGATAAAAATTACACTTTAGTAAACCGGGTCAGTTACAGCGTGGAACTTCGTACATGAGTGAGTACATAAGTTCGAGTTGCCTGCCATGACACATTAACACACAGAAGCAATTGTCAGTTCAAATACCATACAGGTAGCGATAGTAGAAGTGTTAGCAGTTAATGGAGAAGATTAGGGTTCGAGGATATTCAAGAAGTATAATCCAGTGAAATAAAATTAAAAGTAGAAAGATAAACGTGATGAAGAGTCCAAAAGATTAGGATTCGAGGGAAGACAAAGGATGGTTCATCTGCGCCATTGCAAACGATTTCGAGCCCAGTCAGTCAAACTCTCTAACCATCGGTTGTTAGTTATTTTATAACTAATTGTAGTTATAACATAACTAACCAATCAGATTGTGGTTTTAAGCAACCACCACGTGATCTGACTGACGTGTCTGTAAACCTTCTTTGTTGTAAATGACCTACAAATTGATTGACATTATTATCCTATTATATTGATGTGACTCATAACTGTACTCATTTCCATAAGACACGCTATATTGGTCGGTACGTTTGCTCGTCTTACTTGATAATTGTAATTTCCTTATTTATTGTACTAATGTAATTGTTTTTATGTTTAGAAACAGATAAAGTTTAAAACAAAGTTGATCTTCTTCTAACTTGAGCTTTCCCGTAGACTCTGTGCTCGTCAATATTGCGTTTACCGTTCCAGAATTACATCTGTAGGACAAATTAAATCCTACATCGGTTACTACTGTCTTACGGACCCCAACCAGGTAGACTATACTTACCAACATGGCCCAGTTCACTTGTCAGTGACTTTATAGATTTGTGCCATGTTGTGGTCAGGCCGCCCCTAGCTTTTTTCCAGCCTACCCTGCATAACAAAACATCGCCCGCCGGGGCAGTCGATGGTTGGACATAGGTAACACATGTCCTAACTAAATCAACTGATGAAGATTGAATACTTCAGGTTAAAAGAAGTGCTAAGCCCATCGATCTAAGCCCCTGAATTGAGGATGAATAATAAGACTATCCTTTTCCGAAATAGTCTTACTCATATTCAGATTCCTAACACCGGTCCCCTTGATAAATCTGAACAGTTTTCTACTGTCGCCTTTTCCATCTCTCTTGCTTTCACTACCCACCACTGTTTCTGATTGTTGTGTAGGTTTTTCATCTGTCTGCGCCTAAGCTGACTCCGCTCCTCATCGTACTCAGAGCCATACGGGATGAGTTTCCGAGCATCCATCAGTTCGGTGGATGCTACTGAAATCCACGGCTTCTCCCTAACCTTATAGTTTACCTCGCTAGCAAATATCACTGCTGTTTCCACAACTTTTTTGATATCATTCCAAGCTGCCTCAGAGTGGGCATCAATTACTACATGGCCGCCTTACTGTTTTTCTAGTTGTTCCTGAAATATATTCTTAGCTTTATTATCATTAAGTAGAACCCTAAGAAATCTACTTTCGATATTTTTCCTACGTCCAGTAAGCCTTAAACAAATACGCGCTCGCACTAGAGCATGTTCTGAGTCTAAACAAGTGCTCCAGAATAAGAGGCAGTCCTCAATAGAGCCTCTCCACTGACGGCTGATAACGATGTGATCTAGTTGGGTCGGTTTTGGGGGTCGCCAGGTCAGGAGATGTTTTTCCCTATGCTTAGAGTTAATGTTTATAGAAATAGGCGGTCGCCATTATCTGATCTTTGAGCCACAACACCTTTAGATCCACCCGTGTCGTTCCTTTCCACTTAGTCTACCGATTTGAGCATTTAAGTCACCAGCTATTATTACTATATCAGAGCGCCTAATTTTTTGAAGGTTAGAGAGGTTTCTGTGAAACTTATCTTTTATCTTGTCCGAGCTGCAGTCAGTGGAAGCGTAGGCAGATACGATGAAGGAGCAACGGCGAGTTTTCCTAGCTTTACGAGTCCGTACCGTCCCGTTTAGTCGGACTGCGTATAAGCGACTATCTACCGGGATTCAGTCTACGAGAGCTAGTTCTGTCCTATGATTTAATACTATACCTACACCAGCGAGGCCACGGGAAACAGTACCAGGGCTTCCAGATACACGAAGCATAAACCGAGTTGATTCTCTATCTGCATACGGTGAAATCAAATTATTGCTTTTACTGGGATCCTGTATGCGCGCTTCGGAGACGCAACACACATCGATGGCACGGAACTCCGGAATCCTAGCTAATGAAGCCTGTTGCCCTATTTAACACAACGTTCGAACAACAAGATCTCCAATATGTAGTTTAGCGCGTCGGGTTTCGGGAAACCAGGAATAACGTTTCCTGAGCTCGAAACGTTGGCATCAGGGGCGCGAGGTGACAAAAGAACGAAAGGGTTGGTCGCGGAGATAAGAGAATTACTAGGTGTACGAAGCATTTGATTGTGACCGACTTGGTCTCGTGTGCTTCTACGGGTATAAGGGCGGTTGTCACTTCCCGGCTACCCACACCGTGGAAGTGCTCTGGTTGTAGCTTGAAGCTGTAAACAATAACCTGTGAACGAATAACTCAAATATTGTTTATTAACTTAGGTCCAGTGGTGCATAGTTTCATGGGATGTCTACCACTAACTATTAGTCATTAACTGTTAAATGTTTTTTGGGCAATTTTTAAATTGTTACGAAATAATAATTATAATAACAACCACATAAAAAGTATATACAGTAGATACATCATATTAGCGAAGTAAAAACTTACTTCGTCAAAAAACCGATCCAACAGAAGATCTTGTGGACTTCCAGGACTTAGACTTGTGACTGAATTACAGTTCTTTAAAGCATAAAAATGAAAATAAGAGTTAAGAGCAGATCGAAAAGAAGAGTCAGTAGGGAAGTAACTTTTTGATTAGAATAAAATCTCAATGTTTGAAAACTTCATTTGTCCCGTTATTATTATTATTTGAACACACAACCATTCATACAAAGGGATAACTAAATATTTGTACACCACACAAACCATCAAATCTGTGTGTGTATTCAGATACTGTCCAGGTGGCCAAAAAGGAGTAAATGGTTTTGTGAGGAAGTCATCACCTGAGTCTTTGACCTAGAGGTCTGATCCATAAGGCAGTGGAACAACGTCAGGAGATGCAGCCCTATGGTAACTGGTGACCAACAATAGATCCATACGCCATTTGTTCCCTTAGGATCTTGGAGCCCATGAGCACTATTGATCTGGAACCTGGGTTTTCCGATTCCCCTAGATGGTTCCCCCGTACCAACCAACCCAGTTTAGGAACCGGACATTCGTTCTTCATCTTAATTTCGGAAACAACAGCCCTACCACGAGAAGGGAGAGTGGGACTTCTCTAACAGGGACTGTAAACGCGTAGCCATATAATAGTATTTCGGGACGGCGTAAATATTTACGTTCCCCTTTGTACTAATAGTTGTGTATCTAAATAATAACAATAATGATATCCAACCTCAGATTGCATATCCTAATTAGGCAGTCCGCTCTTATCAACAATCAATCACTCCATGGATTGATTCCATGTTTTGATTTGACTACCCTGAGTTTCTCGCAGCCTACCCTTAGACCAACAAACATCGCCCATCGAGTTAAATGGTAATTGGTCATACGTAACACCGAAATATACTAAAGATGTGATAGCCCCGTATTATGAATCAACAATAAGGTAGGTGAATAGGCAGATTACTGGTTAGTAAATATAACTTGAAACTGCTTTTTACGGATTAGAATCCCATCTAATATTTCACCAGCCTTGTACGCAGTGTCCAATACATACGCAAACTAAGTTACAATTTGCGTAACTCAGTTTATGACTTGAGCTCGTGTATTCGCAGGACAGATGTAGCATCGATAGCTGTCACAGGCTCACACAGATCAGAGCCAAATGTACACAAGCGTTACATTGGTTATCTAGTCACAAGTTATCGCCTGAAGATATTCTTTCAAGACAACCTAAGGTTTTGAAGTTCTCAAGCCTAATATTTTATTTTTAAACCACGCATATATATACATACTTACCAGCAAAATTTCTGAAAATCCTTGTTCTTCGGCGAAGTTCCATGTTTTGTCTTTTGTTGATGAGGTTAACAGTGACGGTGACGATGAAAACCTTTGACTATCACTTAAATTAATATATACACTTTGTGGTCTTGATGATGATAACGATTGTGGCAATGTCCTTGTTAGGTGGCGATCTTCATTGAGATTATCACTTGTATAATTATTACGATATGGTAAATTGCATGATTTTGACGACGATAATAATGACGGTATTCTTGATGGTGTAGTATCTTCAAAAAACTGCACAGATGATACATATGATCTAGGTGTCATTGGAACACATGGATGATAATTTCCAACTGATGGCAATTCATTCTGGTGAATATATGGTGAAGTAGATAGATTAAAACGTGATGTGACCTTATGTACAGATCTTCGACTATGTGAACTTAGTAAATCTAATTTTGTACCAATAACAAGAATAGGTGGACAGACTGTGTTAGTCATATAATTTACAGCACTCTGATTAGTATTAGTTGTTTGTAATTCTGACCATGTAAAAAATCGATTCACTACAGTTTCTGTATTTACGATAGGTACAAAACTTGTCAGTTGATCTGTTGTACTTGCTTTGAGATTATCATATTTTTCATTAGTTACACCTCCGTTGCAATTACTACCACTAGTAATAGTAGCTGTGGCACCACTTACTGCTGACGTTATTCCTCCAATATCAGTTTCCGGTCTATATTAAAACAAATTACGTTCACAAAGGGGAAATTATAATTAGTAAAGAACATAAAAAATCAAAGCGTCATATGAGTACTTCTGAGTGAATGAGAAGAACTTGAAAACAGACTAATTTTTCAGGAAAATGCTATATGTATATCTCGGTCATTGTCATACGGAGTACTTTAGGTTCATTTTATTTCACTTTACAATTTTGGAACTTATCAGTGATTAGGAATAAAAACTATATAGATTTTATCAGCCAAACTTACTGACAAACATTTTAAATCTTCAAAAACTAGGTTGGGGTCCGCGAGATGATAGTAACTGATGGTTATAGACCATGAATGAAATGGCTCAAAATCGTTTGCGATGGCGTAGGTGTATCCATTCTTTGAGTCCTCTCAAATTCTAATCTTCTGGATTCTACATCACCTTTATTTTTCTCTTTTTAAGTTTATTTCACTGGATTATACTTCTCGAATAATATCTTCGAACCGCTAATACTCCTACTATCTCTTCCACCATGGGATTGGAACTGACAACTGCCTCTGTGTGCTGATGTGGTATGGCGACGTGAACTGACACGTAGTACGTTGTAACTAACGGACTAACTGACTAGGCTCTTCATCCCAAAAGAAGCTATGCACCTATTCTAACCAGAGAAAGTCGGACTACAGTTTAAATCCAGAACCTTACGTTTGTCAACTATTATGTGCATATATATATATATATATATATATATATATATATATATATATATATATGCAATTTCACAATGTATAAATAGATAATTGAACAATTTTTCAAGCTTACCTCTTTACTACTGACCTCCCTAACACATCAGATAACCACTTTCTTAAATTCAATTGTGATTTCTTATTTGTACAATCGTAGACTAGTATCAGCCCGTGCAAATTTTGATAAAAGATTGACCGAGTATTCTCATGGCTGCTTGATCCACCAATATCCCATAATTCAATAAAATATGGATGTTCTTTTGCAGGATCACCATTATATAAATGAATCTAACTTAACAAAGGCAAGAAATGTAAATGATAAGATAATCAATCGAAAAAAAATCTACAACCTTTATATCCACACTACAGCCAATTGTGTATGAGGGATGAGGAAGAGTCTGTTGATTGCATATCAGGTGTACCAAAGTTGTTTTACCAACACCTTTGTAGATAAAAGAAATCGTTATAAATTGTATGTACTAGTTTAAAAAATGATTAATTAATCTACTTACCAGAATCTCCACCCACAACAACTTTTGCTCTTTCAAACTCCATAAAACAAATCTATAGACAAAATCATTCAGTTGAACTACGGGAGAACTTACCAACACCAGTTACACTAAGGTTTTTGGTCTATCAACATTGTAATATGGAATGGGTTTGACAGTTGCTATCTAAAAATCTTTGATAATGTAAGGATATTGCATCAAAAAGTCAGAACATTTTATCACTACTGCTACCGATCATGTACATAATATCCAGTATATTTAGCACCCTTTATAGGGACAGATAGTGGAGTACAGCTATTGCAATACTGCTAAGTCCCGACCAAAACATTAATTAGGTTATATCGTTTGTACGTTAGAGGGATGATGAACGGGCGTTGGACCAGCTGCCGAAGGTCATTAAGGCCGACGATGACCTGCATAGGTTGATATATAAACTCCACAGAAGTGGCACAGGCAACAGTCAATCTTATTAAACCATTTGTATTAGAAATTTGTTTTTTACAGAAGACCTTGTTATGGAAAAACTTAGTTCGTAAGTTAAGGACCTTATTCCTTAATTTTGTACTCTTAGGTTGATTCTAAACTGCTGTAATCAACAGAATACTAGATCGAAATAGTTTGTGGCTGGACGTTTAATACATACTTTGATCAGTTTTATAAATGAAGCCTCATCGATCCATTTCCCACTTGCATAAATTCTAATATCTAACATTATAAATCGTCACTCAATTTTACCACACCAGTAAAGCTTTAAAAGTAATCACTCGGAAAATCAACCATAATAATAGTCTATTACGATAGTCTCTGTGAGCTCCTAAAACATGCCTTGAAGTATGAATTATTAAAGTACATAATGAAATTTTAGCGAATACTTTCTCTGAGGTACATAGAATGCATCTAGATATGAAGTAATTCCTAGAATATGTATAGCCCATTAGATATCCTGAACCAGTACTCTGCAACAACTAACCACCAAACAGAAAATACAGCAAACTGAGGGACAAAAACTTCTGACCTTTTTTCTCTGTCAAGCTTTCATTTTCAAGTTGGCACTCATTTTTCCATTCTTTAATTTGGTATTGGATAACTGAAACATATGCTCAAATTCCCTCACACAAAACCAAACACATTTAAACCGAATAACAAAAGGATACTTATAACACAACCAAGTTTTACAGGTGATTAGCCTACTTTAAGTCATGTAGCAATAAATAGCCTCATAAAACTAATCAAACGCGACTAGTTTCAAACAACACAGCCTTTTCAATCTGCATCAAGGTCATATCCAACGTCCACTTTAATATCCAATATCTTTCTCAAGAGCTAGTGTAAGGAAAATGGCTAAGACGACATTGTGGACCTCAAGGTGTGAGCACACGTGTGTGTTGAAGAGAGTAAATAACAATTGTGGGGTGATGGCCCACAGTCGTCTACGCATAAAGTGAAGAGTCAGTCTGTTTTTGTTGTATCCTATGTGTAGTTTGAAATAGTCTTCAAGCTCTCTGTGGTCGGTAGACCGAGATCGCGTTCTGAGTAGGTAGTAGGGAGAGGAGTTCTACTGAGGATGTAAGTTGTTCGCGTCACGTTAAGTTGAATTTTCATGACACGAAAATCCAACCAGTTAAGTTTTAACCTTCTGTCTACTACCCATTCCTCACTTGCTGTAAGGTCCTTCTGAAACTCAGCTGGATCCTGTTCGCTTTACATGGACCTTCTGATCATTGCATCGTCTGCGTAGATTAGTGCCGTTTGACTAACTTTGTCTAACAGGCTAATAATATATATCAGGAAGAGGAGTGAAGCTACGGCTGGTCTCTATGAAAATTCTGACGTTCAGCCACCTGGCTTGTACTCTATTTAAGTTGTTACCATGATTTCTTTTCTGAAGGTAGTTTCTGAGCTAACTTAGAATCGGGTCAGTGAACCTGATCTTGGAAACCACTGCTATTAGATGTACCTGAGGTACTGTGTCGAATGCTTATGCAACGTCAAGTAACATTATAGGTATCGGATATATTTTGAGTATCCGTACCATGAATAATGATTTGAGCATTAACAGGCCTTGTCTTTTTCCTCCCCCCAGAACTAATAATCTCCGGGGCCACTAAAAGAAGGTTCCAGAACGGCAATCGAATGAGCTCGGAGTGAAATTTTTTCTCTACATCGAGTGGCCAACTTCTAGAACGTCTTGCCGAAATAGGTGGTTTTATTTACTTCAGTTAATACGGTCAAGAATAAGGTGGATCTTGACTGCAAACGATATGCGAGGATGAAATCAGATGACTGACGTACTTTTTTATTACCAGAGTTGAGCTGGATGGATAGCAAAATTTTTATTTACATGTCCGAACCTGCTATACGCCTACTTAACATAAGTGACGCGTTAAAACGAACGAAAAGAGGTAACTGGTTGAAATATTTTGTTGTCACTAAAACAGTAGATGTGTTAAAACTTAACTGGTTGGATTTTCGTGTCATGAAAATTCAACTTAACGTGACGCGAACAACTTACATCCTCAGTAGAACTCCTCTCCCTACTACTTACTCAGAACGCGATCTCGGTCTACCGACCACAGAGAGCTTGAAGACTATTTCAAACTACACATAGGATACAACAAAAACAGACTGACTCTTCACTTTATGCGTAGACGACTGTGGGCCATCACCCCACAATTGTTATTTACTCTCCTCAACACACACGTGTGCCCACACTTTGAGGTGCACATTGTCGTCGCAACCCCTCTCTCAAAAGAGACATGAATCTGAAGTGAGTGCAGAGGTGAGCAACTAAATGAATGATATGAGTGTAGAACGAACCCTATGAATATCGGCTCCAGCATTTAGGATTATGCCCCCTGAGTTATAGGTTAATCAGACGTGATTTAATTATGGCATACAATCTATTAAGTACGCCGAATCTATGCGACGTAGGCACCTTGCATTGACGTCACCACCAAGCCCATCGTGGTGATCTCGAGAGATAGTACATTAAAAAGCTATCAACGCAGTTCATGCAAAGTGATTCTCATTAGGAGTTGCCACAACTTAGAACGAGCTGTCAGCCAAGTTGACCACAGCCTCTCCAATGGATAGCTCCAAGAAGAGACTTGATGGGCACGTACTCACATCCGGATTATCATATCCCTCTTCGACTGGCTGTGCCTGATACGTGTCTTGAGAACTGCTAGTTGTTACTACTGTCAGTTCTTCAGATCACTGTTTTATTTTGTCTCGCTTGCTATTTCTGTTTACTTATCTTTGTTTGCTCCTCTGTCCCCCTACACAATCTTAAATACTAACTAATTAAAATATTCATTTATTTACATAGTTCTGAGATCTCGTTAGCATTAAAATTTTTCCTCATTATTCTACACAGTCCAAGTAACCGATATCTGGCCTAGTAATGTGTTAGCCACTGATATCCAGAAACCCTATTTCCGTGAGATGAACGCACTCACGAAAATCATCAGGCATACAAATGACTTCCAGTTGACGAGAATCAGTGCAGTAGAGATGTTAGAACTCCATATATTGGACACTACCACATATCTGAAACCGTACAGTGATAACAAGAATCAAGCGCAAAGAAATCAATTGATTTACACTAGCTGAATTGAAACAAGCTACTCCCTCTCCAATCTTTAAAGGAAGAGATAGGAAGGACCCAGCCTGTTACTGACCACTCGCATTGCTACCAATACTATCATGGTAACGGAAAGGCTGATAAACGAAGAGATGAAGGAGTACATGGACAAGAACAGGATCCTCCTTCAGGCTCAACACGAATTTTGGAGAGGCAAGTCTTGCGCATCCAGTCTCATTGCAAGGGATATCCTGCTTGGACCGAAAAATACCGGTGCACATAGTATTTCCAGACTGAAAAAGCCTTCGACACAGTATCACACGCGCGCCTAATCGCGAAGGCTTCATCGACCCACACCTATCTTGGTTCAGAAACTAACTTGAGAATGGAAAATTCGTACCAAGGTATATAGAGTGCACGCGAGTTTTCGAGTTTCAACACTGAGAGATTACCAGGTAGCCATCTTGGGTCCACTTCTCTTCCGGATGTTTATTAACAACCTGTTAGGCACAGTTAGCTAACCGACAATGATCTACGCTGATGATGCAAAGATCTAGAGTTCCATTAGAGGATTCGACTGAGCTTCATAAGGACCTTATATACATTGAGAAATGGTCAGTGATAAACGGTTTAAAACTAAGCCAGCTGAAATGTCGCGTCATGTACATTCTGCCCCACATGGCACACACGATTTACACCATGAATAGAATTCCGCCCCCTAATGTCTCCTCGGAGCGTGAACTTGGTTTAATAACTTCAGAAAGCCTCCACACATGCCCGAACTATATAGGGGAAGCAGCCAAGGCAAATGCGACTCTTCACATCATGCGAAGACAACTTGGTGCTATCACTCCACAGTTGTTCTTAACGTTGCTTAAGACACACGCGCGCCCACACCTGAAGGATCACAACAACATCGCACCCCCTCTCTTAAAAGATAAATAAATCTCTTGAAACGAGTACAGAGACGAGCAAAGACTCCAGCATTTGGGAGTTACAGGAGAATCACAGGTGATCTGGTTATGGCGCACAATTTTGAAAGCACGCCAAACCATCCCAACGTGAGCATCTCACCAAAGCATCAACACCACTCCCCTCGAGGCAATCCCGGAAAAATTGCACATCAAAGAGCCAATACACAGATTCGTAAACACGTTTTCTCATTGCATGTCGTCGCAACTTGGAATGCTCTTCTAGCTGAGGTGACCACAGTCCCCTTAGTGGACTTGATGAACAGGTGTTCACATCTCCCTCGTGGACAAGCTGTACCTGATGCATTTCTTGAGACCTGCTAGTAGTTGCTATTGCCATCTCAGATCACTAACTCAATCTACATTGCCTGTTATCGCTGTTTCATCTCCCTTCCTCACACCTCGGTCCTCTCTCTTAATCTTCGCTACCAATAATAATCATAAGCTAAATTACCTATATATTACTTAGTTCGGAAATCTTCTTGGTGCTCCATATAAAGTCTTACGCTAACAGTAACAAGAATGCCTTTCGAGCAAACCTTTCACCTATCACTTTAAGGAGCAATCACTGACCAGTTCAAACCTTATGAAGAGTGCCTGAAGTCATCGGGTTTTCACACATTGGAGTATAGGCGTCTTTGAGGTGACGTTTTAAAGATTCACAGCATCCTAAACTATCCTGTGCATTCCTCAAATTACTCACCCAATCCCACTTCAGAGACGAAACATGAGGGACACACCCAGGCAATATAGGCCCAGTATAGAAGTCAAATTCTGAAATTTTTTACTGGCTGAGGTGGACAAGCTGTACCCAATGCATTTCTTGAGACTTACTAGTCGTTATTATTGCCTTCTCCTCAGATCACCAACTTAATCTATCTCGCCTATTATCTCCGTTTCCTCTCACTTTCTCACACTACGGTCCTCCGGCACAATTTTCACTACCCATTATTAAAATAATTTTTCCACCTATTTACTTAGTTCTGAAATCTTCTCCTCATTAGAATTAGAATTTTTTCCTTATTATTCTCCACACTGCAACTAACTGATCTCCGGTCTAGTAATGTGATAGCTGCCGGTATCCAGAAACCCTACTGTCCTGAAACAAACGTACTCATTCAAATCAAACTCACAAACAACTGCCGACTAACTTGAAACAGTGCAGTCGAGTGGCTGGACCCCCATTCATCGGACACTACCAGACACTTGGAACAGTACCAACAGAACAAGAAGCGGGCGCAAAGATACCAGTTGGCTTATACTAGCTTGTGGAAAAGATAATGGATTATGGTGACATTGAGAAGACGGTATTGGATGTTGGACAGGAAACGTCCGCATCTTTTGTTATTTACGTTACTTTACTAAATTCTGAAGGCTCCCTTGTTTGTGCATATAATTCCTCGTAAAATCCAGTCTTTTTTATTGTTCTATTGACACAAATTTATGTACGTTTTGGAAGGAATTTAAGCGACTTGTTCCTCAGTGCTTACGAAAGGTATTTTATCAAGTTTTCGGTGATAAACTGTTTCTACTTTGTATGCCAAACTTTATTGAATAAAAATTTTTTCTAACTTATCCTGGCTAATTGTTTTTGGGTAGATTTATGAGCTTTACAAAATTTTAATAGTAAATGATATGTATCAACTGACGCTGATAAATGTGTATGTATACATCTGGTTGTGTGTACTGTTAGCGTTGATGCATTAACACGTTTTTATATTTCCATTGCTATACACTGATTAAGTTGCGTTTTTCATGTAACTGTTTTCTCCTGGTCAGTCGCTTTGTAGTAGGATATCGTGCAGGCACGTCAATCCAGTCTTCCTGAATGCCACGTGTATGTAATTGTCTCTATTTTGCTTATATTTCAGACGAATTGCTTCGTCATAAGGTACTTCAATGTCTTATCCTACACAGATGTCATAGACATTGATTCCTAAGGTTCAAGTGATACGACTTAAAGGCTTTCGTTACCTACATCAAAGAAGTCACTGAATTAGTAGCTCACTATAACTTGTCATAACCAACTATTCTGGACAAGTTTCTCTCATTTAATTTGTCTCAACGTGGTGATTCCCGAACACTAGCCATATTGAAGGTCGATAAAAGCCCATCTAAGCTAACTAACTTTCCAAATATAAACAGTTAACGAACTCTATATATCGCAAGTAGTTCCACTGTACCGTTACTTCCATGTTGGTACGTAAGTCATGTTCGATGAAACCTTAACAAAAAGAGTAGTTTCGCTAAACAGCGACTAAGACTCGGTATTATATTACTTAGTATCAAGATGTATGTGACCTCTAGATTTCTGTCCTTACCATTTTCATTCCACATAATTTGCAACTTCCATTGATAAAATATGTTATTCGTCATTCTTCTTGTTCCATTCTCATCAACAGTTAGGATCTTCTCGTTAGTGACTCGTCACACCGATAATTTAATGCAATAGACGCTTTTGTACTGTTTCTTTCTATAGTCTGATGACATAACTGTCTTGTTAAACCATCTTCTGTAAAGAGTAATCTGTCGTGTTGTCCACGTTTACTTCGATCTTTCACTTTTCCCAAAGCTGTGGGTTAAACCGGAATACTTTCACTGAGTCATTTAAGCATATATATAACCTTTTAATAACAGACATTTTTTTCTAGTTGTATCATTTACACTTCAATTAAGTCTATGCTTTTTTTATGCACATAAGCTGTTACAACTGGGTTTCGGAGATGGAATTCACAACAGAGGCAGTTTATTGCTCAACTAAAGTGTATTAAGGGCAAGTCAATTAATGTTATGTTAGCAAAGTAGTATGTTTGTGATATCTCAATAAGTTAAAAATCGAATTTCTGACGTTTCACAGTGCACTGTAAGTTGCTAGTCCTGGAAGTAAATGAATGTCTAAAGTCAACTGAAGTTCAAATATTACAAATGAACAAAGCACAACATTTAATATGATCACAATACGACCACTCGTATGAATTTCGTGATATTTCAGTCAAGATGACTTTTATATTACCATAAACAACAAACTTAATTCTCCATTTATTTGTAACAATCAAGCCAAATCTTGGTGGTGATATTTGTCATTAATTTTGTTTATTCGTTTGTGTAGACCGAATATGTCCACAAGTGGGGTTCAAGGATCCTCAAAGTATATGGAAAAACTCAGGGAACTTCATCTAAAAGTAGTAAGTTCATATCAAAGATATTTTCTTCTAAACAACTGTGACAATACACTTTTTTTACCTTACCATTGATGATTACGATTGCGATTGGTTAATCTCTTTGCTTTGATATTGTCATTAAGTCTTAAGCATTGTTATCAGAGATAGATGGTGGCACGCGGTGGAATCCAAGACACGGATTTCGTAGCTAAGGGAGTAACGCAGTGGAATTTAGAGCTAACGTAAATTCGGGTCCGGGAGTGAATGTCACCTCTGGGGTGCAGGCACATCCAACCGACGAGTCTCAAACATGACGGAACACGCATTCTGGATTCTATTGCTACCTACCATCTATCTCTGCTAACTGTTATGATAATCTTTAGTTTAAAGATGGTTGTAGTTTATAGGTAAATGAGAGAATTTTCTTAGTCATGTATACGTCCTATATCTTTTTGAACAGCTAGCGTATATGTTTCGTTTAGTTAACTATCAATGTCCGTCCGTAAAATTGAAACAACACGTGTTTCTCAGTTTATGTATAATAAATGATCATGTATGACATTTGTTGCTATACCTAGTCCTTAACCAAATAGACTACATGTACATGGGTAATAATACTCCAAGATCTTAACTTCAGAAGTAAATTCAAAAACTACATGTTACGAATTAGTAGTTTTCATTACCTCACAGACATACTAAGCTATCGTTAAGTTTATCGTTTTGCTAATGAAACACAGTTATGGAATATGTTGTAACTATTCAACCGAGCAAACATAAGATCATATCAATTAACCAAAGTCTATATTTGATCCTATCAGACAACTAATCATAACATTTTATTTGGATAGTGTACTGAGATGACAAAGATCATCAGAACTGTGTAATAGATTAACGCTATACTTTTCGACTAATCTGATCATAGTTATCATAATTATTATTCAGTTCAATACAAATGGGGTTTGATGAGGGAGCTATTTAGTAGCATGGATACTATTGCTACAAGTGAAGCTAACAAAAATGAAGTGAAGTTGTTGAAACAAAAAACTGAAGGAAGACGGTTACTTTTTTTTTACAATTCACATATCGATGGAAAGACCACATTGTATTCAGATCTGTTACATCTTTAGCACGAAAAGCCTGTTTATATCAACCTGCCCATCCTATTGTGTTTATCGATCAAATGTGTGTTTGACCACATATAAATAGGGAAGAGTAGTCGTGGTTCGCAAATTAGAGTGTTTGGACACATACCTAAATGGCTACAAAAATATAGAAAATCAAATGACCCAATATGAGTAGATGATAAACATTCATCGTCTTCAAATGCTAAAACATAATTGATACAGGTCATAAGACCGATCTTAATTAGGCTTTTTTGTGTTGTATAAAAGTGTTTAAGGTCTTGGCCGTACGAAAGCGTAAACCTCATTTATGTATTCTAAATGACTTTCTCTCACTTTAAACTTACCCTGATAATATTGTATTATTACTCAGGACTGTGAGTTTTACATTGTTATTTCATATTAATTTTCTTTCTTAACCTTACAATCTATTTGTCTAGTCGAAATTTTACTTCCATATATAAATGTTCTTAACAAGTATGTGTCTAATCAGATTGTTCAAAATATATTGCGCTCATATATCATATAGTTCTGATAATCTCTGTCTTCGCATTACATTATACAAATTTATCAAGGGGACTAATTTCTTTGAATAACATTTTAAAAAAAGGATTGTTACCCAAAAGATTGGCATTTGATTGAATTAAATTGGAAACATTGTAACATCAAGTTACATAAAACTAATAAAAATCATCATCATGCACTCTTATCAGTTCTTAAAGTGAGGGGTTCAGTAACATGAAAACTATGCATAATTAACAGTGTGAAACTTTCAGAGTACTAAATCTCTTTCTACTTGCGGCATTTTATTCAAAGACATCTCACTCAAAAGCGTCTCAGCACGTACACAAATTTGACTGCCCTGAAACCTATCACAACCATTAGCCTACACTTCTTTGATCTGTAGCTCAGTAAGAAACGTTGCAGTAGAAATCCTGATTTATTCTTTTTGAGTTCGATTATCCTAGTTCGTCTAAGAATCGGTTACTGAACTTGGCCAATGGGATGCCTAAGCTAGCTCGAGTAACCTCGGACACTGAATATTGGATATTATTATTCTGTCAATATGAGCACCTTCTACCCACCATTCTGTTTTGAGTTTAGATGATAACACTGTAGGCAAGTTTTAACCAGTACATTCCAACCACCCAGTATATTTATCTCAGCACTTATTAGTTTTTATACATTAATTGAGACTAAAACGCACTCTGAACAAGCAATTATACTTTACACATGATCATTCCATGAGTGGCTGGGAATAATTAAACAACAATAAGTCGTATAGCAATAGCTAGTAGGTCCAACAGAAGTTCACGATACAGAGAATATAGTCATACAATAACCCAACTGTCTTATATACGTATGATAAATGTAGAAACAATGATAATCTGTAAAAAAGATTCCGAAAGTTGCAACACTTCGTCTTTTAAAACTAACGCTTCTACTGCCAAACTAACTTATAAGAAAGATTACAATAGATTGTATTGTAAAAGTAAAACAAATATAAGAATTTATTGTTGTATTTTTTTTATCTAGAATGAAGCTCGAAAATCTAATCATATTGAAGTTGTTGAAGAGGATAAACGATCTAAACTCCCGTCAAACTGGGAGGTACGACAAAAACGATTACAATGGGAAGAAGAAGATGAACTATTTAAAATGAAATGTAGTCAAGAAAAAATAGATCCTGATCGAATGCGTGCATTAAATGTTAGCGCTGAAATAGCTGATCGCCTTGAAGTAAGACGAAGAAAAAAATGTAACACAGATGAAGGATTTTCAACATATGCTGATGCATCACATCGTAAATATCTTAAAATGACTAAACAGATTAAACCAGATTTGGTTGCTTATCAAAAGGAGAAAGAAAAACTGTAAGTTATATGTGTATTTAAAGTTCTTAGGTTATTATTAGCTTTTTCAATTAGAGTAATGTAGATCATTGTTTTTACACATTGAAATCGTGGATCGATGATTGTACTACCATTAGAAACCTGGAAGTATTGGATGGCCGTTGCGTCCTGATATATGGGGCCCGTCAGCAGTGCACATCCACGCGTCATGCTCGTCGCAGGATTCAAACCCAGGACCTTCGGTCTTGCGCGCAAACACCTGACCTCTGGACCGCCATCTAACGGCGTCAGTGTTCAACTCTGATCAATCTACGGGTTTGTGCGACCTCATCCATTCCTTTCCGGTAGTAAATGCCTACACCCGACAGGGATGAACTCCACTGGTCACGGCTTCTTACTAGAACTGCGAGTTTCCCCACGAAGCTAACCACTAGTGAGCACCTTGTATGATTTTTCAATTAGAGTAATGTAGATCATTGTTTTTACACATTGAAATCATGAATTAATCATTGAGTTAGACATTAAAACCGTTGGATCCCGGCCCACAAGTTAGGCGTTCGCGCGCAAGACCGAAGGTCGTGGGTTCGAATCCCGCGAGTAGCACGAGTCGTGGATGCGCACTGTTGATAAGTCCCATGCCAGGACGAAACGGCCATCAAGTGCTTCCAGATTTCTAATGGTAATCTAACAATGGTTGATTCATGAATTTTATGTTGCTAATTTGTTTTTTTGTATAAAACGATAACTCGATGGTTTAAAAATCGCTCGACATTCAATAACGAATTTCAGGTTCGAACCCCGACCCACCTGCTTCAGTTTGACCAGGCATTTCACTTCACGCTATGCATATTTCTGTGTTGTTTTGTGAGTGATACCTATTTTATGTTCTTATTTAAGAAAATTGTTACCCTCGTGGTTACTTATTACATCAAAATTGGTGCTTGAAAGAGGGAGGAAACGGAGATTTGCACAATCATCATAAAGATTCTGTTCGCCTTATAAAAACACAATTACTTTAGACGACTACATTGCTTTATATCTTAATATATTTTACTGACATTATTGATTAGTTAATAAATATCATATGACCAGCATAGAGGTTATACAAGAATAGATTTTACGCGAAATCAACACAAAAATTTACTGCATGTTAGGCTGAAGAAATATCACAGCAAATCAATGCAAAATAATATTTCCTGCTAAATAGATTTCGCGTTATAGTAAAAATAAAATAAATGTTATACTGAATAAATAAATATCACACTGAATTAAAATATGATTTCGCCTTTTAATCTCATCCTAATTCTGTACATCTATCTTATTGATAAAGCAACTGAATGTCTTGATAGTACTATTTGTAGAAAAGCTATTTACCTGATATCCACCAAAACATTTTTTGACTAAAAGTCTTGATTAACAATGCTAGCATATCTGGTATCCGTTTCTTTCTCTCCAGGTGCAAAGTGTTGTTCAAGCGCTGGTCTGCGTTAACCTCTGGACTAGTGATAAAGAGTGAAGTAATGCAGTGCGCTATTCTGGTCTCATTAACCCTGATGCATCATTTCTTAGCGAAATCTCAGAACAATTCATAAAAATCAGTTGGCGTTTGTCAACTGGCGTCACTTGTGTTGTATCCATCTGCCAACCAAAAGGCATGTATACTGTGCAACAGTCCGCTCTGTTCTAATTCATTGGTGTGAATTATGGTTTTCGGAATCAGAAAATATATGTATAGGCTGCATGTTCTTACTCATAAGTTTCTTGAAAACGTTGCCCAATTATTTTGGGGCACGAAAATATAGCATGGGATACATAGTAAAGATGAGAAATCGGATGATGAGGTTGTAAATCTTTGACTGAGGTGGTTAGGACATTTGCTATGTATGCCTAGACACCATCTACCTGGACGAGCGATATCCAGTTATATATGACTAGGTTAGGACGGATTTAGGGGCTGTCAGACCGAAATATGCCATTAGTCCACAGTGTCATTGACTCTGATCTGAGCCATGCTGATAGATGTAGACTCCTTGGTTGGGCTCCACTTAATAACCGGATCAATATATATATATATATATATATATATATATATATATATATATATATATATATATTCAACTGCATTAACTAATAATCTAGTTAACTACTGTTTTGCAAACTTGCTCCTTCCTGATATTTCACGATCAACTGTTTGTGTGGATAGGTCTACTCAAATGGTGATTATTAACTTTTATTATTTAGTAGGTTAAAAACGGTCGCCCTTACACCTAATTTTGTGTTACTTTTCCTAATTAGTTCTTGTGCTACGACGCGGAAAGTAAATAATCTCAACAAACTCAGTAAGTAGGGATAACAACTCGATTGATAACGTAATGATCGTTCAACTCGCTCAGCACCCAATGTTTGTTGGTGTAGTAAGAATGCTAGGTTGTCAAACTAAAACATGAGATCGGTCCATGAAATCATTGAATGTTGTACTGAGCTGTGTAGCCACATACAGTCTACCTATTTAGAGTTCGCGTAACTGTTGAGATTAATGATTGAATACGTTGAGTGGCACTGTTCAAAATCAGACTCGATAATGCATGTTCATATACTCTTTGCTTCTGCCTAAATCCTCAGCTGCCTTAGTATTGTTTAGTTGCGTAAGTTCCTCCTTTATACAGGAGCCATACTGAATACGCCTAGTCTTTCCTATTACCATTTATATTGTTGCTACTTCTATTACTCATCTTGTACTGAACAGTTGACAACTTAAAGCTTCGTATGTATGTGCCAAATTCAACGTTGTTATGATTCACTTCAAAAAAGAAGAATACAATGATTGATCAAACAAACACAGTTATTTTTGAATCCTAACACAACCTTCTGTTTTCCTTTTTCAGAGGAGATTTAGCTTTTCCAACTGCTGATACGATAGGGTTAACAGATCGCCAAGACCCACCTGAAGCTGTTGAGCGTCTAGCTAAGCAAATAATTGAACAAGGTGTCAAACGTAAGGCTTACAGTCGGAGACGTCCATTCGATGCCGATGCTGATATTGACTATATTAATGAGCGTAACAAACGGTACAATGAGTTACTTGACAGACATTATGGCAAATATACCGCTGAAATCAAACAAAATCTTGAAAGAGGCACTGCAATATAATTTATTTAGAAAATACTGTACATGTAAAGTTCCTGTATTTTTCAAAAATGTATCTCGCAATACATATTCATTTTTCCAAGAAGTTTGTCTGGCTTTCATTTCATTTCAAAAAGTTGTACAAAGATATTTCCGAACGTAGCTGCTACCTAGACGTGATTGTTGGGCTTGCCTGCCGTGATGATCCAACTGGGCTGTTTTAGTCGAAACTCATGATTCTTTACGTGTTATCACGTTAGGTGGGTCGGTTGGAACATGGTAAGACTAAAAGTAGCAACTTCATGGCTGAGGGGAAATTCGTCCCGTTAATCGCAGACAAGTATTACAGCAGTAAGGTACTTTCCTCGCATGACTAGCATCTAGAGCGACTCCGCCTTCTCACAAAAGAAGGGGCTAGAAGAGGTCGACCCAAAAATGTCACACCACCCTACCCTACGAGTCTCCGTCCCCGACGGTAAGGCCATTTGAAGGGCAGATCTAACACGTTGAAAACTTCCCATAGAAAGGCCGCGTGCGACCAGCCCAAAGCAGTTTTCCCGTGGGATTCGCAATCACACTTCCAGGTCTCTAAGACCAACACTAATCTACTTTCCTTTTCAGGTTCCTCAAAAAACACCCACGGTGTGGGCAACCGGGAAGTGACATCTGCCCTCATACCCGCAACATTATACAAGACCAAATTGGTCAAAACCAAACCCTTCATACACCCCCTAACATATCTCTTATTTTCACGACTCACCCTTCTCACATATCTTAATCACCCTGCTCTGCTAATGCAAATGATTCGAGTATGGGAAGCGTTATTCCTGGTCTTCTGATACCCCGCTCTAAACTACATGTTGGAGCTTTAATACTGACGATATGAGTACAAGAAATGTTGTTCTATGTCTCCTGAAACGATGCTCTACATCACATATTAGAGCTTTGAATGTTCGAACCTTACGCCGAATAGGACAATAGGACTTTAGAATCTGGTGCCATCAACGTCTGCTGCGTCTCCGAAACACGCACACAGGATCTGAAAACAGTCTTGCATTTAACCTCACCTTATTAAAATTAATAACCGTCGCAATGTACCCTTGACGTATCCGGAAATCTTACTGCTGCTATCCGTGGCCTCACGGTTGGTAAGTTGCAAAGCAGAACCAGTTCTCTTAGACTAAATTCCGGTAGATAGTCGCTCACTCACCGTTGCATCTGCCTGCGCTCCCGATAATTGCAGCTGAGATGAGATAAGAATGAGCTTTACAGGAAGATCTTCAGCCTGCCAGAAGATAAGAGCTCTTATGAAGTAATAGTGGCTGATAATTTTGACACTCAAGCAGGTAGATTAAGCGAAATTGGCCGACACGTGGGTGGATCTTGTAGTGTTCCGAATCACCGAATGCATAATAGCAACCGTCTGCTGCAGTTATGCTCAGATAACCACCTATTTCTGGCAAGCATCAACTTTGAGGGTAAGAAAAGGCATCTTTAAGTGTGACAATCCCCAAAATCTACTCAACACTGGACCAAAACAGACCTTATTGCTACCAGCCACTGATGGAGGTTCGATAGAAGGCTACCGCTCGTCCTGGAGTACATGGTTAGATTGACGTCATGCTTTAGCACGAACACGTATTTGTCTGCGGTTTACTGGACGCAAAAAAGGAGACAACAAGAAAACCCCCTAGAGCTCTGTTTAACGATAAAATGCCAAGAGTATATTTCGAGAGCAACTGGAATAACTGTCAAGCAGCCATGTAAGTGATTTTCAATCCAAGGCATTTTCAAATAATGTTCGGAAAGATGTAGAAACAGCAGAGATAATTGCCAGCAAGTTAAACCAAAGGTTAGGAAGGAGCACTGAATTTCAGTAGCATCTACTGAACTGATAGATGCCCGGAAACTCATTCTGTCTGTCTCTGAACACAGTGAGGACTTGATGAACTAACCTCTGAGATTTTTAAGAATAGTAGTTCAGTTTAAGCGGTCAGATTAACTGATATTTTAGTTTGAATCTGGACGTAATCTCATTTCATTGGTCTCGATCACTAATCGTCCCAGTCTATATGAAACGAAAACAGTCCTCTTGTGACGATCACAAACGAATCAGTTTAACTATTATAGTGCATAGTGGTATTCCTTGACCTTGAAGCAGTGTTTGACTATGTTGATCGTGAATTTCTGTGACAATGTCTGTCATTGGAAGGTGTTCCAAATAAGTACATATCTTTGTACAGACTCTTTAATCAAACACAACTGCTCGAGTCAGAGTTTACGGCTGACTATCATCGCAATTGATTGCGTCTAGTGGTGTAAGTCAGGGTTCTCTGCTTTCTCGATTTTTATCGAACTTTATCGGAAACATGCTCTAAGAGATAACACTTTCATCTTCTGACTTCTCAGGGATTAACCTATGAGGAAATTCACTGATTAACTTAGAATGTGCAGATGAATTAATTGTTTGGTGGATACGCTGATAAAATGCAGTATTCAGACTACTTTTTCGAAGTATATCTTAAATAACCAATCTTCCTCATTACCAACGATACTGTTACCACGTTTATTACTCTGAAATTTGACCTGATGAGGTATGGAAACTTGAACAGATGTACCGACATACTAAGTTTTACGTTGCAAATGGCTGACTAACTTTTAATAGTTAAGAGAATTATAGGTCAGTTCCTATTGGTTAATTCCTACTGGTCAATTTTATGGTCGTCCTAAATATCAATGTCACGTGCTCCAATGTTGTTTCTTATTGGTCATCCTATCACTTTAAATGTTGTTTCCTATTGGTCGTATTAACTGCCAATGTTGCAGACTTCGATGATGTTTCCTATTCAGCCTAAATGTATAAATACGCATTATCTGTAACGTTCTAGGACCAGGACTCGGTCCCGGATCCCTAGTCCGGGATCTTGATTCTCTTCCGGACTCGGACCTCGTACTTTCTGGATGCTTGTAGAATACAGGTTCTAATTCATATCACGCTTTCTTCTTTTATTCAATGGGGGTTGGGATAATCGGATTGAGTAGCATGTCGTGTCGCCGAATCCTCGATCCTCGCTCTCGTTTTCCGACTAGGTAAACTCGCAATAGTTCAAGCATATCAAAATGACGTGTTTACATGCAGGCGTGACACGAATACATAATATTTCTACGAATCTTGTCATCCAAGTATAAGCAATTAACAGGTTATGCAGATATCTTTGCTAATATGAAACTATAGGTTATTAAAACTACATAACTCTACGGCTTATTTTAGATAACCGACAAAGAATAGTTTGTTCTATCTACGAAGACAATAGGTTTTGTAAGTAGTGAGAATACATTAAGGTTTATTTAATGAAAAATAGTTTGTAAGTGGTGAAAAAAGAAATTAGGATGTCTGAATTTCGAATCAGGGTTTTAACACATCACACTTTTTGAATGGCAAACTTTGTTTCAATTGCCATCTAAAAGTCAGTTCCCTCTAGCTTTACTTCAAATACACAAGTCACTGGGGAAATATTTATAATTATTAAAAACGTCAAGAGGAAGAAATATACATTTAGATCAAATAAATGTATGTTCACTCAAGATTTTTGTTTCTTTTTATTTCCCGTTCTTGGTTTAGCTATATGAACTTTGCCTTTGGTTGGTTTAAGACCATGTTCAGCACGTACACCTTGTAAAAATCCTCTGCTTGGTATTTGATGATCAGATCGGATACCACATAGTGCAGATCGACTAGTAACATCATTTAATGGAAACACAGCTGATGATATATTGTTTAAATCACATTGGAATTCCAAAATATTGGATAGTTCTTCATCGTCAAATCCTAGTAAGCCATTAGTAGCTACTGGAGCTACTTTTGGATTTTTAGGACGAGCTGGTCTTCGATCAGGAATACGTTGGTCCGCACAATAGATTGGTTCGTCAGCGTACTTTCCACCCTTTGGAATTCTCACTGGTTGCTAAGGGCAAAAAGAAACCACATGTAATATATACTACTTACTTACTTTTGAACCACGCCGCCTTGGTACAAATCTTTTCGCAAAGTGGAATTCTAACTGACCATCTTCATGTAAAGTAACTGGAATTCGACGCAGACTAGCATGGCCACACCATGGACAAAAGTAGGTATCCGTACGCTTAGTAGGTCTATGATAGTAGAATGAATGGAAATCGAACTCAATCATATTAAAATGCATCAAGATTCCTTCATGTTAAGTAGGATAGTAAAAGATCATATAATACATTAAAAGATTAGTGTGTAAAAAATCAAAGCTGCTGATCTTTTTCTTGAAATATTATTTGTTTATAAATCCTATTATCTGGGATCAAACATTGCCACAAATATCTCATGGGTATAACTTGAGTTTATCAGTAAAATTTGAGCTGATTTTCACTACGATGAGCTAATTAATTACTCAGTAAGATGGGTCAAATCCTACGAATGAAACAACAGTCCCATAGGTCTGTTGTCTGATGAAATATTGTCACGGATTCAGAAAATTAGGTTGAGTTTTGCTAACCTGCATTACCTGTGGTGTAAGGTGAAAGTAATTGGTTTCCAACAAAAGGATGATTTTACTGTGCAGTATTTCGCTGGTCTACTGTATATGTGGAAAGCATGGTCATCAAGAATAAAGGATACTTGTAGGTTACTAGTATTACTGGCATATTTTGAGAACACTAAGTAAGCAATGCTGAAGTCAGACATACGGCACCAGGTAAACACAGCATATCGGTTGAGGGAGTTAGTCATTAAGTGAGGTGGTTTGGACGTATCTGGTTTAAGTTGAAAGGAAACATGTAGCGGCCAAGTCTAGACTTTGTGTTAGCCCATGAAGTTATTGCCTGTTGAACGGATTCATGTAGGTAGGTACAGATTACCTACCTGTTTGGTGTCCACGAAACCATCATAACCAATTGTTAGAGACGGGATGATATGACTGAGGAACTCCATAAAAACGCCCCTTTATTTACTTTTCATCATCCCTTAATTCCTGAACCCAGAAATCTCCATATACATTTTTGTTTGTGCTTTTCCTACTACTGATGATACTGCTACTACTTTCACCACTCTTGGACTTGTCTTCATAATTTAATCTCGCTGTTATAATGTGGTTTGATTTACATGTTTCAGTATCTACGCTGCGTAGGAAATATCAAATACAAGCAAGCGATTGAGACATTTATACTTAACACTGTGAACTCGGATTATTTAAAATCTTAACGAATAGTGAAGAGAAAAATGAGTTACGAATGTGTATCAGTTTGAATTCCCACATCAATTCAGCAAGCGAGTAAGTTAATGAGACGTACTAGTACAGTAATTGGAATAGTATTTGAGTAAGTGAATTGGTCGTGACCGATTTGGTCTCGTGTGCCTTTACGGGTATGAGCGCAAATGTTACTTCCCGGCTGCACACACTGTGGAAGGGCTCTGGCTGTCAGAAGTGGCTTAGGCCTCGTGACTTCCGAAGGAACTCGGCTTTCATCACGAGACATCATAACTCTTCTAAATGAAGAGCTTCTAACTCCCAGGGCAGAGTTTAAATGGTTTGGATTATTTTTTGTAGCGTTTTTCTAATGAGTCAGTTTTCGATGGGATGGGTTCGCCAATCTCAAGCCCAACCCTTCTCCTTTATCCGGGCTTTGGACCAACAGTAGCTCCGAAAGGCCTCCAGCCGGATATGGTTTGTAAAGAACTGAGATGGAGGAGTGAAGTGAGAATAAGGGACGGATAAACTCGAGCTACTGAGTTTTATTTTGAGCCATACCATTCAATCACGTATGATTAAGACTTCATAACGCGAACCACATCCAAGTATTTTGTACTCATTGACAAGGCCGTCATCGACAGTCAGTAATAACATGAACTGATGCTGTTTTTAGTCTGACTATCTTGAAACTTTCCTACAGCCTACTTCCATGCCGATCACAATGAGGGCATCTAGGTAGGTGGTGGTCGGACACGGTAATCCTAAAATATAGTGGGTAGTTAAGAGTCTTCAGACCAGTACATTGCTTATAAACTCGATGTTTTGATTAATGTTAACCAGTAGGTAGATATAAACCACACATTTTTTAAACTCACTTGAAACAAGCACAGCACCAAAGTATATGTGTTCTTGGTTGACGAATGCGCAAACCATTTATGCTTACTATATCGAGGCCTGCATGAAAGAGAACATTTTGCATAGCGAAATCGGTCGTAAGGCAGGCTACGACATTTGTTTGAGCCTCATTGATCGGTTCCAGTAAGTCTCTAAAATTAAAAATATATGCAAAGAAAACAGTGCCACGAAATTATCAACAGTATAAAAATAATGGGACCGACAGAGAGACAGATACAACGCAGAACTTCGTACGTAAGAACACCAGTTCAGGTTGCCATACCACATCGGCAAATAGATGCAACTGTCAGTTCAAATCCAAGAGTGATAGCGATAGCAGAAGTATTAACAGTAATGGAGAAGATTAGGGAGCGAAGATATGATTCGAGAAGTATAATTCAGTGAGATAAATTTAGAAGGAGAAAGATAGAGATTATGAGGAATTCAGAAGGTTAGAAATTGAGAGAACACAAATAGTGGATGCACCTGCGCCATTGCAAACGATTCTGAACAATATCGTTCAAGGTCTCTAACCATCAGTGACTTTCGTCTCGCGGACCCCAACCAGGTAGCCTACATCTACCAACATGACTCAGTCCACTTGTCGGTGACTTCATGGATTTGTGCCATGTTTTGGTTTGGCCGCCCCTAACTTTCTTCCAACCTGCTCTTACACCGTAAAACATAGCTCGTCGAGGCAGTCGGTGGTTAGGCATACGTAACAAGGTTCTCCGTAAGCTCTCACTCGACCAGTAGGTTTAGAGTAGAGAGCTTGTATAGGGTTAATGTACTTCTTTGGTACACCTTTCAATGACAGACACTGCCACAAGCCTCACGATCTACAGAGTCAAATGCCGTCTAAAGGTCCAGGAAGACAACTATTGTCGGACGCCTAAATGTGTGTTCCAGGATCTGTCGTAGTGTGAATATGCGGTCTATACAGCCACGTGCAGGTCGAAAGCCAGCCTGGTTTTCTCTAGTCTGCTCTTCACGAACTCTAGTTAGGCGCCTAAGTATAATCGAGGCTAACAATTTAGAAACTATATTAGTTAGACTAATTCCCCTGTGATTGTCACAAGAAGACTTTTGTCCTTTCTTATAAATTGGGACAATCAGTGATCGAGACCGAACAACCATCTGATTTAGTGTACCTCATTTAACAAGTACATCTTACTACTTCCACGTTCCAGATATATTGTTTGTGTCAGACATTTGGTTATAAACAGTAACCTGTAAAAGTTAATGCCTCATAAATTTATCAGGTATAACTTTATACATTTATATTAGTCTTATTTCAACTGTCATATGAAAGGTCAGGTGTTACTGATAATACTGCTGAGACCTTGTTATACCTACGTCATAAAAATGACTATACCAACAGGTCAAAATTCTAGACGTTGAGAATCAGATCTAATTTCAACTCTATCAGCAACGTTACCCAACTGTTTCTTAACATACAACGCAAATATATAAACGCTTAGTGAATCGTATTAATTTAGGCCCATTAAAGAATTTCGAGCAGACAAATCAACAAAAGCAAAAATCAGACAGTTAAAAACAACCAAACGTAAACATACGCAATATTTCCTCCAAGTCCGAAATTAGTCATAGCTTTCTCATCAAAATTATCTTCTGTTATCCAATCGTCATCATCCGGTTCAGATCCTTCAGTAACATTGGTTTCTGCTTCTGTTACTTCCGTTTCATCACATTTATCGACAGATAGCTTGCTTTCTGTGTCCGATTTCGGTACTTGACATTGAGCTAAAGAACCAAGGTTATTGGGCAAGGGTTTCTGAGAGCATGGATATACATATATAACTGTATAGAGTGATGTAACAACGCCTTACCACTTCTTTGATTTTCGGCTGACCTATATATTTTGTATGCAATTCATAAGTTAAAGCAATGACATTAATGTCTGTAGTAGAAAGAACTGACAGATCCCCAGTTTGTTTTGCAATACCTCTAACTGCAATCAAAAAAAAGCTACTAGGATTTTTGTAATACCTACTTATGTTTATGGATTCATTTTCCGGTGTTTGGCAATGTAGGGTGTACGGCAAACAATCCATATATTCACGTGTTTGAACATCTTTTATTTCAGCTACAACTTGTGGTACGGTGTAGATACTTGCACCGAAAGTCTAGAAACGCGCATTGTGAAACAATTTGATAACTCCAATTACCTCCAGACGTGTACGTTTCACAAAAGGTGCTGTATCAACGACAATATGCGAAGTACGGTCATTGAGAACCATAGATAATGAAGCTAAAACGAAAATGTCACCGAAAAGTAGGAATCAAGCTTTTAGAAGTGACAAACTAATAAACAGCATACTTAGCATTTACAATACTACATTTCCAGTAATACTAACTGTCCTTACTAAAAACTTTATTACTTACCTCGGTTTGGTTACTCGTTGTAACTGACTAGGACAGTATCCTAGCCAAAGTACAATTATATCGATGCGCGGTGAATAAATATATAAATGTCCATTCGCACTAATAATTACATTGAAATGCATAAATAAAACACTTTGTTACTCGTCGAATCATATCAAGTACTTTAACACGTATTCTGACTTCGAGGATGTATGTTTTATTACTAAGCCAAAGAAACCCCATTTAATTTACGTTTCAGTTGGATACTCAATGTTTTTACAGGTTCCAAGCATTTTAAGGAACATTTACTGCCTATTTGCACTTTTTAACATGTAAGTTACCTATCAATGATAGTGTTGCGTTTTGTAAGCTGCAAAAGTTTATTTTGAAGCCAGCATTATTGTACTGAATTTTATTATTCTGATTATATTACCCAGCTTGGAATAAGAAACACTACTATGGGTTGTGAGCTATAGTGTGTTTAGCGACGAACGACATTCAACTGTTCAAATGGCGGTGCCATTTTTAAGAACATAAAGTAAACACCACGATCCAAGTACTTTTATGTAACGGTGAGTAGACATTTACACCAATGGACTGACCCGAAGGTTCAAAAAAATAACAGATGTTTCATATAATATATATTAAAATCGCACAGAAAAATGGTTGTCTAAAAGATCAAATTGTTAATGTTAAAGCTAGCATCAAATCATGACTGTCATTAATAACAGTAGTATATCAAAAATGATCTAGCTAAAGAAGAATGAAGTGAAGTTTAAGTATTGTAAAACTACCAAGTTACTTCACGGAACAGATTCAAAAGGCTGTTGATGAAACCAAAGTGGTCTAACAGCACATAAAAGTTGCTTCAGGTGTACGACTCACCGACCTTCAACAAACGTGACCTACCAGAATGTAGCGCGAAATACGAAAAAATGACATCCAATATCTAATATACTTTACTTGAGCTAGTATAAACCAATCGATTTCTTTGCGCTCGATTCTTGGTCCTTCAGTAAGGTTTTATGTATCTGGTTTTGTACAGTGGATGATAGGCTAGCTACTCGACTGCACTTATTCTGGTTAGTTGGCAATTATTCATGAATTTGTATGTCCAATGATTTGCTTGAGCGCGTTTATCTCAGGTAGGAGGGCTTCTGGATACCAGAAGCTGTGAAATTACCTGAGCGGAGATAAGTTAGTTGCATCGTAGAGAATAATGTGGAGAACAGTCTAATGGTAATGAGATATCATACCTATGTAAGTAAATAAACGCGTTCAACAATTGGTAACCAAAATTGTGTGAGAACAAAATTGTAATCAAAGAAGATGAAACAGAGGTGGTAGGAGAGAATAAGTAGGTAACCCGAAAAGCTGATGAAAATAACAACCAGCAAGTTGAGGGACCTGCATTAGGCACAGCTAGTCCAGGAGGGAGATGATGATCTGTATGTTGGTACGCGTCTAATAAAGTCTCTTTTTGAATCTATCTACTGAGAGGGCTGCATTAATTTTCCCAAGCCTGAGATCCTAGGGGGACAAGATCCATCAACATTAACAACTTTTACTCTTCCAATATTGATGATAGCCATTTTATCACTACCTGTTGAGGGTGATAAATGGGGAATTCCGACTGGACAACCCTATTTCTATTTCACGAGCTGTTGAAAAACAGGTTTTGTTCTTTGTGATTTATTCTCGTTATTTCTGTAAGATTCCAGGCATTTGGTAATATTCAGTGAGTTCTATTCGGACCCTTTGACTTCACTAATTCTAGTCACCGTGGTGATTATTCACTGACTGATTCGTCTTGTAGTTTGAATGAGACGGTTTTTTTCAGGAAGGTAGAGTTTCTGGATACTAGAAGTTGTCACATTTTCAGTCCACAGGTCGTTTGGATGCAATATGAGGAATAATAAAAATAAGTATCCAATTTTGATGATAAGACATGTCACGGAATTTGTGTAAATGTATTGACTAATCGGCTGTGCAGATAATGTAAGGGGGCCAGTATGCAAGGACAAAAGAGGAGGCGGAGGTTATGTTAAAAGAAATCGATTATGTTACTGAGACGGACTGGTGAATAACAACAGGTGAGTCGCAAGACCCGCATTAGACACATCTAGTACAGTCGACTTGAGACTGAGTATTTATCAAGTGTCCCCCTAAAGCTATCCACATTATCTACAAAATAAATTCTCTTATAACGAGGAGAGAGTAATCACAGGTGTTGGATTCTGCCTTCACAATATTTATTTATCAATACGGCCATTTGGTTCTTTGTCTCTACATTTGGTCTAAAAGGTTTATTTCTTTAAAATGAAGGGGGTAAGACAACATCATAGACATCAAGTTGAGCGTTCAGAAAATCAGGATCAATCATATAATGATTTCTCTGAGTTATCTTCTCATGAAACAAAGTTTCACGTTTGCTGGGGATGCAATACTTAGGTAGTCTGAACTGGAGACAGGTACGCAAATGATTTGTTTCCGGATGCACGAAACACCCATAGTGACTAGTCAAACTCCTTCATCGAATGAACCTCCTAGTGTTTTTTCATCTTCGAAGATGCACAAGCTTGTGCAGCTGTAACTGTTTCTTCTCCGATTGACAGTCAGTTTGGTGATGATGAAAAAGTGTCTGTTGGTAACCACCAGTTCACAGTGTTATGTGATAAAGATACTACTGATGTGCACATGACTTGTGTTTCTGAAATGGAACTTGAAGAATCACAAGTGAGTTTGCCGGTTTTGAATTTCAAAACTAATGTTGTTTTTTCATCTAGCGGGATGAGTTATACAGCAATGGAAGTGTCTCACCCTACTGTTGCTAGTGTTACCAGAAACAACATGACTTGTCTGACAGAACGGAATCATGATGGCGATGACAATAATCTTGGTGTCATTAATGATACAAATGATTTTTCGACGATGATGAAAGCTGATCAAACCTCCTCTGTACTAGCAGATAGAGAATTGAATCTTGTTCCTATATTATGCCATTCAGAGTCTTCAGGAGGCGAGGAAATGTCGAAATCGGAGATTCTACCCTTGTATATAATTCACGGGCCAAGGACTTCTTTTAATGAGTCGGCAACATTGACTTCATCGTGTCTGCTGTTTAAAGCAAGTGGTGGTAGATCGACGATTCATCCTCTTCATAATATGAAGAGTAAGTCTCGATTATGATGTGACCAGCCTTACGATGTGTCATACATGTTCGTGTGGTTAAACTGGATTGTGTCTATACGACCTTTAGGTCATGCCACTACAGATAGAGGGATCAAGAACCTGGTGGAAAGGTACAGGTACATAGTGAGCTTGATAGGTCATATTCATGGAGGGGGGTAGGCGTACTGCTGTAAGTTCTACTCGCCTTACTGGTGTGAATTATGTTATGAGAGTGAACCATGATCTGAGGCATATAAAGGGCTTGCTTGTATGAAGGGATATTGCGAGCCGGAGTAGAATCCATTTTTAAGGCCTTGTTGTGGGAAAATCACTCAATGTACATATTTGTAATATATTCTTACTGACTCTTTCTGTGCTACATTTTGGTACTCTGTTTAATCCCATTTTGTGATGTTATTATTAGTATTTTGTTATAGTTTCTATTTTTTGTACCTTTAATGGAGTTTCTATGTTTTCGACTGGACTGTACTGATTAAACTGATACTTAATTATGGCGTCAGCCATATCGGATTTGATACCCTGGAGGGGGAAACCTGAATCTGGACCGGAAGGGTTCAATTTCGGAACTACAAGGAAGCATTCTTCCAGAATTGGAAACACATTGTGTTAAATTTGAAGGGGAAAAGTGTAATATTGTTTAGGTAATGATCTATAAATTTTAGTTAATGATCGTGCCATTTCTCACCCAGATAAACGGATTTTTATTTGGATATCCGGGCAGGGCGCGTATTTAAACTTCTAGAACTGTTCTTCCGAATTCAGGAGCCACCCAAAAAATTAAATATCTGTCGAGATCTGGTAGTTTCCCATGGATCATGTTTTCGGAGCTTTTCACCTAAGCTTTCATGACTGCAACTGGATTAAGTCTCTGTTTCTGACCAATGATAATTCAATGATTGTCTGTTCTACGTCGATTACCTATATATTGGAGTTTGTGGTGCACCATCTCATCTTCTGAACAAGAAATCGAGGAAATGAAATTACGAATTGGACTTTTATTTCAACATAAATTTGATGGAATAACTGCAGCTTTCGAATTTAACCAGTCACTGATTTAAATACTGTATTCTTTAGATCGGTCAAGGAACTATCGTATGGAGGGGGGTCATACTTGAGCCATCAGCTGTCTGCAGAACACTTCGTTGAATCTGAATCAAGCACTGCAGGCATATGGCTAGTGAAATTTCCTCAGTATTTAGGAATACCGGTATCGAAGTTGTCGTTTTTCAACATGATCACTGGTGAAGGCATATTTGTGAAAAGTCAAGCCACATCTAGTGATGTCATACTCATTGTGGTAGTGGAATTGACGGAGTCGAAAGTTGATAGTGTTCAGTATTTGTTGACACGATTTTTGAAAAGTAGTAGGAATCTAAAAGGAACATCATAAGTGACCACAAATGGAGATCTGGTTTATCAAAAACTACTTTAACTAAACCACGACATTAATGCTGCAGACCGTACACATAACTCATGAGACTCAGCTATACAGATATCTTAAGTTCTAAATAACCCCGCCAGTAGTCCGTTCGGGGCAACTGCCGGTCCCAAGCCCGGATAAAGGAGGAAGGGTCGGACATGGCGTTGGCGACTCCATTCCAACTAAAATTAACTTTCCCAAAAAACGCTAACCAGAAAAAAATAATTCGAACAATTTTAACTCCGCTCTGGGAGTCGGAAGAATAATTATGACGTCTCGTGATGAAAGCCGAGTTCCCTCGGAAGTCACGGGGCCGATGCCTCTTCTGACAACCAGAGCAACCATTTTTTTAGGTACATGGAACGTTCGTACATTGTGGGAAACTGGAAGACTAATTCAAGTTGCGACAGCAATGTAAAGATACAACCTCGAGGTGCTCGGCATCAGTGAAACGCATTGGACACAGGTAGGAAAACTGAGACTGGCTTCAGGGAAACTGCTGTTATACTCTGGTCATGAAGAGGAAAGCGCTTTACATACGCAAGTAGTTGCACTGTTGCTGTCCAAACAAGCACAAAAGGGACTGATAGGATGAGAATCTCATGGACCTAGGATCATTAAAGCATCCCTCAAAACAAAGAAAAAGGACATTACAATGAATGTCATCCAATGTTATGGACAACACTGGATAAGAAGACATCATGGGACGACATGGACTAGGAGAAAGGAACGAAAGTGGTGGGAGATTTGCAAACCTATGTGTCTTCAACAAACTGGACATCGGTGGCACAGTATTCCCGCACAAGCTCATTCACAAAGCCACATGGATTTCACCGGACCACACTACTCAAAACCAAATTGACCATATCTGTATCAACAAAACATTCAGAAGGACTATGGAGGATGTGAGAACCAAGAGAGGAGCTGAAATAGCTTCAGATCACCACTTGCTGGTCGCCAAAATGAAATTGAAACTAAAGAAGTACTAGGTAACGGGGGAGGTAACATCACAGAAGATTAATACAGCCTTTCTTCGGGATACCGTAAAACTCAATGATATCAAGATAGCCCTCAACAATAGGTTCAAGGCCTTTCACAATATACTCAATGGAGAGAAAGCAACATTGGAGAACA